CAGACAGATTTCAGGAGACTGGAGATGGGAGGGGGCGCAGGTCCACACACGGTGGACCACCTCAACCAAGAAAGCCACAGAAAAGCTGTGGAGCGGCTTGGATCCCAACTGAGTGATAATGTCATCAGGGCCACACTACGAGGGAGCCATTGCAGTGTCTGACTGTCCGTTAGTCAGTCAGCTATTCCGCTCAAACACACGGTGCTGACCACGCGGTCCGAGTTATCCCGTCACCTGGCAGCCTTCCAAACCACAGCTTTTTGCGCACCGTGATAGTTTCAAACGCGTGAAATTATTTCTAGTAAGGAAAGTGCGTTGAAACGTCGACCTCAGGCCACCTTCCGAACCTGCCAGTTGTCTGACGGCCGGCGAACCCGCCTGCACGCACCACAGCACAATCTGCCCCCCCCCTGACGCACATAACTGATTTACCAAAAACCAGGGTGTAAGAAGGAACCGCCACCGTCTGACTCTCGGTTCACTGGTCAGCCACTCAACATACAACGCACCCTAGACTCATGACGTGGGGTCTCCCATAATATTTATCGACTTCTGTAGATCCAATGCATTTAAGGCCACCCCCTATCACAAACCAATAGGGCCTCGTTTTGGTTTAACGCAGTAGTGGTGCAATCACATTCACATACCCTTGCACCGTACCTTGGAGGGGCTATGATCAGCGTTGCCTATTCGCGCGCGCAATGGATCGCAGCCATGATCTAAGTCAGCTCTGTCGATGGGAGTGCTTGTATGATTGGTCCTTTTTCCGACCGGCAGTTTTCTTCTTGCATCCTCCTGTTTATACACAACTGACGGTCAGGTTGCAAGGATTTATTCAGCGCTCTAGCAGCCCACTGATGTAAAATCCTAATGAGTGGAGCGTTTGTTTGGCGTGTATTGAAGGAAAAACCAAATGCGTGGCAGGCACGGCCGGAGACACAGTGTGGCGAGTACTGCAAGAAACTTGCCTAAGTTTGTAAACGTTTAATTATTTTTCGCATACCAGCGAGAACGCATTTACGAAAACTTAGAAATAGTAGTGAGCAGCATTAGGCATATTCGGCACTTAAAAGAACTATAAGAATTAGTAAGTTTTTATTGAGAAAAATAAAATTTTTCGATAATCCCCCTGTTCTGGAGATGTAAAAATTAACTATAAATGAGAACAATAAATTTAAATATTTTATCAAGTTGAGAACGGAATGGAACCAATTTCTTTATATAAAAGGAAGGTTTCTTTAGTCAAAATATTTTATACATATTACCATTAGTGGATAACTATTGAATATCGTCGAATAATGTCTGGCATCATTTCGATCGTTTTTATTATCTTCATTTATAAATTGCGCTTCTGTTGAACATTTACACCAAAACCTTTAAAATAAGATATATATAAAGAGCATTTACCGAAAGTGTTTTTGGATCTTAGTTTTTATGAGAATGGCCATGTTGCTTCGATTTATAAATGCCTCAAAACAACAAACCACATTGTCGAGAATAAACCATGTCTGCAACGTAATTCTGATATAGTTTTTCCTAAGATTAACAAGAAACTTTCCATAAAAGGTTACATCTTTAAAAAGTGCTTTAATTAGATATTCGGCTGACGAATTTCTGTGTATATTAACTTTTTCCAAGGTAATTTAACAATGAAATTTGAGACTTTTAATAATTTCTTTAATTTACCTGAAGATAAACGATTCAATTTAACTGGAGGTGAAAGAACTTACTTTTCGTTATGATGGATTGTTTTCCGCATAAGTGGATTAATTCCACGATCTGTCGTAAGCTTGCGAATGCAAAAAAACTGACCATCTATATGGTTATTTTTTTGAAATAATTATTATTCTTCTGTCTGTTCCTTCTCTAAATAACACATAAGCAGAACGTATAGTTTACAAAAAGTATATTTTTACATGACTTACGTTCAGTAAGGCCTTCTTTATATTGCATTCGCGGTAACATATGCGGCATTTTGCTTATGCGCAAGGACAGCTGTGCGGTAAAACAAAATTTCCGACGACACTTTTTTTACTGCATTTTGCGCAAAAAAATTCACAAGATAGCTAAACATAATTTTTAAAACACAAATCTCAAATATTTTTTGCAAATAAATGCGACTCCTTAAAATTGGCTTCACTTCCATTTGATCAACTTCGCACAAAATTTTCTAGTTCTGGAAGGTATCCTTTTTCCAAATTTCTCTACTTATTTTGGAATTCGTCCATAGCACAATGCATATTAAGGAAAAGTTCGGTTTTGTCATACCTTATATCATAGAAAATTTCTTCGTTATAAACTTACTCATAATTTTGCCAAAATTAGTGCCTATTTCTCTCCATAACTAAGGGGACAGTTTTCCAAACTAAAGCCTTTATAATTATTAAATCAATTCAATTGATCAAAATAACCTGGCAAAATATAGGCTTAACTACCAAGTTAAATTTCGTCGTGAAGTTTCTTGCAGCACTCACAATACTGTATCTCAGATCATTCAACGTTCTCAGGCACAGACCCAACGACCTTGGCCTTGTCCTGCTACTGAATTGTGATGGGTGTGCGTGTGTGCTTAAAGCGAGCGAGAGAGAGAGAGAGAGAGAGAGAGAGAGAGCGAGGATGGGGTTGATGCAAATTATCACTGCCGCTCCCGTTGATGGTCGTGGACCAAGCAGAAGGACATATGTCGGATGCTCGAATTCTTCGTACTGACTTTTCTGCCACTTGCAATTCCCGTAAGCTCACCATCTGTTTTTTTTTCAAAATCTTTTTTTTGCAGTATGTTGTCAACTGCCACGGACAAACGCTGTTGCCGCAGTACCTGGGCATGTACCGCGTCACGGTGAACGATCAGGAGAGCTATTTGCTGGCTATGCGGAACGTCTTTAGTCCCCGTGTCACCATCCACAAGAAGTACGATCTAAAGGTACGCCTTTTTTCTTCCATTTTGCGGACTTTTCTGTCCAATCGTCCTAACTGAATCCTCATTCAAACCCTTTGAAGATGCACCTTTGCCCTTCATTTCTTCACATTTTAGGTAATGTGGTTAGTACTCATTGTCTTTACGACTGGAGTCTATTTTGAGAGTTTCCATAGGTTGTAACTATCATCAGTCAGCCAGCAACAGGGCCTCCTTCCTGCTTATTACTGTCGATTTGTCCTACCTTGGTATTTGACCTTTGTTCACGAGAGACTAGGGTTGGGACACTGTCTGAGAACTTCTCTTGTCATTACCAATATAACCCAGTTGACACTTGAGATTTGTTTGGACTTAAATTTGCGTGGCGCTTACTCATCTACTTGCGACAAAACGTAGCACTTAACGCTGATTTCCACCGCATGTTTAATGGCAGATGCCGTTATTTTTTCGCTTTCTTACTGCCGCATAGGTGATGAGTCTGTTGAGCATGCTCTACTTTTCTGTTGGTCCATTTGTCTGCCTCCATCGCGTCAAAAGGACCAGTGATGAGCTTACTGATCTGAAACTA